CATCATCAACATCACCGTCATCATCATTGTTATATGTATTGATGTCCCCAACAGTAGCCCCGATGCGGGGCTTTGAAGACTTTCCAGCGTTCGCCTCGTTGGTTCACTGAAGTTGAACGAGAATATAGAGAGTGGACACTCTTGTCGGACACCACGTTTTGGAGTGAAGCTTTTGGGGAACTCACCGTACATTCACCCTCCCAAAAGTATGCGAATATAGGCATCGCCTTATATTCACAGACTTCTGGGGCGTACCCTGTTGAGCGAGTGTACTTAAAAGCGTCACTGAGCGATTCGTAGAATCGAACGCACGCTTGAAGTCAAGGCACGCCAGGTTTGTTGGTTGTTCGTACATATGGCGTTGCTCCGACACCTGATGCAGTGTGAAGATGTGGCCAACGCGGCCCCCAACCTGATCGAAATCCTGCTTGATTCTGATGCGTCAGGGTTTTGCGTGCCACTATAAAACGACGAAAAATCAGTGACCCCAGGAGCCTCGTCACAACAGGAGGCAAAGTAAACCTCTCTGGTTACTACATTCAGTGCGAGTGTCATTTTTGAAAATGGGCCCTACAATCGATTCACTCCAGTTTTCTGGGACGGTCTCTTCCTCCCAGATAGACCCAAATAGGCTAGACAGGCACTGGCTGGGAAGCCCACCGGCCTCCTTGAAAAGAGCAGGTGGAAGGTCGTTGCGACCAACAGCAGGGTGATGCTTGAGTAGGAAATACACTCGGACACTTCTCAGACTGAAGGCTCTTCCATATTCATGGTTCACCTTTCCGTTGAAAGCCGAGATTCTGGGTCGGAGGTAGCAGGTTGGCAGCTGAGTTGCTGTTTGAAGCACTGTAGAGAGCGGCTCAAACGTTCTTGATAACCTAAGTTCATTTGCCGCACGGACTGGCATGCGCTTCGTACCTGCAAAGTGTAAATTGCTGCTACAGAACTAGTTGAGATCAATCCCAACCAACAGGCTTGCAGACGAGTCAATCGACATGGTAGATAAATTTGTTTGCCTGGACAGTTGTATAAGTCCCGGTGGAGTGACTGGAAATTAGATTACTTCTCAGTCCTGGAAGGTCAATACAACTCCTGCCAACCTCAAACACCTATGGCGCCGACATGACGTCAGTCGGTCTAGCACAGAGTTTACGCTGCGGCAGTTCTATCTATACTGCTTTGTGGATCAGAGACGACCTCTACGCGTGGAAGACATACGAAAGCTGTATATGTTTGACCGTCGGTGTCTCCGAAGCAATGGTCGGGCACATCGGATTCCTAATTTTAAGGCGGAATTCCACAGGGATCCTGCTTTATCGCTCGCAGTCAGGTGCTGATACGGCCGAGAAGCCCACCCCACGCAAGATTTGCCGAAAATTCGGGACGCTTGCCCGTTCGTCATCAAACCGAGATCTGATTGGTCGAAACTCTGGACCCAGCAGCCAATCACGACTCAGTATTGGCCGAATGCCGGTTGCTACTGGCGCATCTAGAACGCGTCAGAATTTCCAAAAAGTTATTGCCGCCTACGCTATATATATGGAGCGCTGTGCAAGTATTCCTTATTTCGTTTAGGGCGTTAATGTACCTTGTGCACCTGTGGCTGTTTTGGCGTGAACGCTAGCTTGGAAGCTTAGACCAAGAACTAAGCTGAGAAAAATACCGTTACTACATCAATGTTGACAGATACACCTTTTGGAAATGCAAACTGTTTTGGATAAAGTAAATAATTTTGTTGCACAGTCGGATCATCATCATCATTGTCAGCTGTAATAACTGCGTACTTGTCACACAGTGGCTGTAGCTGTCACAGTTTCGTTCACCGGTGATTCGGGGAGGTGGGTTAGGTAGCCGCGCATTGGACGCGGGAGCTGATACATTAGTGCGTGAATACAGCACTGTAGGTGGACTGTTTAGTGGGGGGATTGGAAGGGGAGCTATATATATTGAAGGCAATTGCTTGGATGCATGAGCGTCATTGAGGGCGCGACTGGGTCCGCATTCAGGAAGACGGCGTGACCAGCGCAGCTGAGTTTCCTGGTAAAGGCTTTTATACTTCGCTGCACGTAAAAGACAAACAAGGTTTTTGATGGCGACGATTTCTAAATAGAGTTCTGAAAACTTTTCAGCTTTTACCACAGTATTTCATTGGTAATGAGATTGAACAAGAATGAAGGGATATCATCTGTTGTAGGGAAGCTTCTGGAGAGGTCAGCGTTCTCCCTCACGCTCCCATAAGTATGTGAATATGGAACCGGGTTATGATCACTAATTTCTGGTGCACATCCTGTTGGGCAAATGGGATTAAAACGCTGGCGAACCGACAGAATCACACGCACCCTTGAAGTCAAGAAGCACTCAGATTTTAGGTGGTGTATACATGTAGCGTTGTTCTAACACCACATGGAGTTTGAAGATGTCAACGTAGCTGCTACCCGTTTTGAGTCTGGCTTGTTTTTCACGGGTCAAGGTTTCGTGTGCGCCCGCAAGACGACTAATAATGCTACAACGGGAGTTGAAATTACGCGATTGCAGGTACCCTTTTTGAAGAAAATCACCTATGGACTCACTCTTGTTTTCAGGGAGGGTCCCTCTTTTTCTCGATGGACGGAAACAGTCAGGAATTCACCGCCGTTTTTTAACAGGGCAGGTGGAAGTTCGTCAGGACGAGGAGCACGGATATGACTGAATAGAAATGGGATGAAATGGCGATTGAGCGATGTCACTTGCGCTCATGGAGTCAATGCCTATCCAGACTGAGTGTTGGAGGTGTAAGCACCTGGGATGTTCGTTGTAGGCTAGACGTAGGTCCGTGAGCTTGCCGCACTTTCCTCCTTCCTATTATAAGGCTTAATTCAAATAAATTGACATGGTTGCATTGTAGTGGAGCACAAGGATTTTCATTTAATTTTGCTGTCAATGGTGATCATCGTGGTCCGCTCACCGTCCCTTGAGAAGGGTTTTCATCGGCATATGGCTGAAGTGGCTGCAAGACAGGGTCACCTGTCCCCTACCCGGGTGAATCAGACAATCTTAGGTACACTAGAATTTCTGGTAGGCAATTTCCGGCCGATAGCTTCACCCATAATTCACACAGAAATGGTCTCTCTGTGATATCCCAAGTCTCTCTGGTAGCATCTGTGCCTCAAACAGAGCAGATAAGCGCGGAAGAATGACCTCATTTTCATGCGCATAGTAGATCCGACGGAAATAACTCAAATGTATGCTATTTATCAAACGATGGGTTTCTAAACCGCTCAGTCGTATGAGGTAGGTTTATAACTTGAAACAGTTTTGAATTTCAAGAAAGAATGGATTTTGATTATATCTCTTGCTCATTGAAAATAAGCTTGGAGGCTGGTGGTGGATGAAAAACAGTTTTATCTCAGAACTGTCTGCTTTACGGATCATATTCGGTTTCTAGAGGTCTGTATCTTAAAAGTCAAAAGATGAAGGACGAGGTGATAACGCCCAAGAAGCAGATTTCTCCTGGCGAATGTGACCTGTAGATTTTACAGCATTTTCAAAAAACTCGTGCCAGATGGAAGCCGGTCCGGGTGGTACCACATCAGTCATTCTGATTGCAACAACTGACGTTTGAAACTTTTGGAACAAGCTAATTTAGTTAGCATACAGATTTGCTGTGTGCATTCTGCGTATCAATGAAAATTAGTTCATCACCAATTTACATCACACTATGCTCTCGCTAAACTAGGTATCTTGCAGTTTGTTCACAGATGGGTGGCGGGATATGTGACTGATGTATCATGCTTGCTTTCACTTCGCTTGTATATTTTAGTGGTTTGTGAAGGTGAAGTTCAGAAATGGCTTGTTGGTTTTTGTAGTTCTTTACGGAAGTCCTGGTTCAGGTCAACTTTTCAGGACAGCTTCAGCAAATATCGTCTTATCGTAGTAGATATGGGCATGTCTTGTGTAACTGTCGGTGGTGATGGTGATATCAGGGTAGTAATTCCGTTAGCATATTTCGATGAATTCCAGCAGCAAACACATATTTAGCTGATCTAGTTTAGTTTGCGCCGGATATGATGGGGTATTCGGATTAGTACTGCTGAGGTATACCAGATTGTTTTAGGAAGACGGATGTCTTCCACAATGGAAGGGCTAATCACGCTTCATAGTTTACGCTGGCTACGACATTTGCCTCGCATTGCACAGGACACTACCTCGCATGAATCGGATGGTCTGTCGCCCAGCAAAGAAGCAGAAAAATGCTGACCACCACACTAGTCGGATTAATGGCTTGCGTCCGTGGATGAGGTTCCCGAGTCTGAGCTCATCGGTGGTTAATGGCACCGACAGACATGGCTCAAATAACTAGATTGATCCAATACGGACTAAGTGCTTATGTCGTCGCCTCCCTGGTTGGTTATATCTTCCCTGGTCTATCATTTCGCCGTGACCGAAACCAGCAGCAGTCGGAATCAACGTACTCCTTTGCACGGTCTAAAGCTGGCAAATTGAACTTAACTGGCTGTTACCATGCACAACAGGTGCAGTTTGAGTCTCAGCTTGCAGGTAACAGGTAACTCGTCGTGGTCGTGGTTAACCAATGGGCAATCGGTATGTGCAGTTTTTATGGCCTACGTTTTGTAATTCACCCTTCACGAAAAAAACGTTGTGGCTTCCATCAAAATGGCTATGTAGGAGGAACCACCCTTCTGTCTTCCCACTCAGCCATTGATACAACTATCTCCAGAGCACCTCAATCTGTCATTGCTCGTATCGCAGGGATGCCACTTTCTGCCTGACTGTTCGCTAGTTTCCACGCCATTGTAAACTTTGAGGAGTGAAGTTACGTCAGCATATTCCTTTTGGTTATTGTGGTACTGAATACTGACTACCTCGATAAGGTACATTTCTTGGCCGGCTATTGTTTCATACGCGCAATATAATCTCAGAACCCTATTTATCGACGATTTTATCATGCTCCTCATAGCCTTTTTGATTTTTCTGTCTTTCCCGAATTTTCGTTCGTGTAGATGCGGATACACCGGGCAAACGTGAGGAGTTACTCATTCAGAAATTGAATCAATGTTGTGTGGTTTTTGAATTTGTCCCGGACGTTCTAAGCGACCTTAAGGATAAAGAGGTTAAACGAGATGCTTTACATGAACTCACCGAATATCTGGTTGAAAACACTGGTCCCATTACGGATGCGATGTATCCTGAGGTAGTGCGCATGATCGAGGCAAACTTATTCCGTACTCTCCCACCGCCTACTAATCCGTCTGGTGCTGAATTCGATCCCGAGGAGGATGAGCCTACTTTAGAAGCAGCATGGCCGCATTTACAGGTTGGTGATCGGTCGTCAGTTATTCCCTTCCTTTGCTGCAATAGAAAACTCTCAAAATTCTTTAGTTGGGCTCTTTTGCGCAGTCGATGCACACTGTGTTCAGGACGTAACCTTAACAGTGCAGAAACCGTTAAGATGCTTTCTGTAACCACTGTCTTGTTAGTCCTTTTGTTAAAACTAAGGTAAATTTTTTAACCACCCCGGCCTTACAAAATACTCAGGTGTTAGCTTTTGGTGGTCAAGTTTGCATACTTTTGTTTACCTTTTTCGGAAGAATTGTAGTTGGTCACCGAATTCAGCATGATCTACTTGAGTTCTGAGGGTTGCGTTCTTGTAATAGGGCTTTAATGCTAAACCTAAATGGCATTGGTTCTTCATTCTTTGCTTTAACTACTGTTGAGGAGCCGACCATTCGTTGTCGCTGCAGCTTAAATAGAATCTAACCCTCGATATTGTGTTCGCTTGGCAGCAATAACCTCGGACGCTTCCCGTTTAATTACTTTGGTTCGAGAGGAGAGGTGTCCCTTGGAACCACATGCGCGCCATCCCTTCCCGGTAGCCATCGTCGTTGTCGTAACGAACGAATGATTTTCCAAAAAAATAATTTAGTGTTTTTTTTACCAAGACTTTGTTGTATGCCATTGATACTACAGTCTAACTTTTAACTCTGGAAGAAACATGAAATCTGCAAAGGCTTTTAGTATACCCGGTCACTTGTATAAGTGGTTAATGGTCTTCATGATATGAACGCAGCCAGCATCATTCTCAGTCACGTGCTGATTAATTACGAATTACCCTACGATGTACTTATTGTAGCTCGCCTAGCATCAAACTCATGGTCCCTAAAAGAAGACAGAGCCCCGTCTCAAATCCGATGATGTGACGTGCCCGAACGTAAAGGCGTGCTCGACTGTGTTGCCTGGGGACACATGTAGGTTACGCGAACCGCGCAATTTACATGGATTATGCATATGTGAAGATCTAACGTCATAAAATGACATGTCCTGGTCAGGACTTTATGGGCACTTTGAATCAACATGCAAATGTGCTTTGTTCAAGTCGTGTTTTAGGGGACTATTCGACACGTACCCTAACTAAACCAAAGCTGTCGAACTTGTGGTCTTACGCCGAGTGAATGGTTCTGTTCAGTCTATCTGCCACGGGAAAACTACTAACGAGCGGGAAGAAACCTTAGACTTCATTAGAAAACACTGTATGCACGGAAGATAACATTCAAATTAACCGCGTGCGTCGTTGTATTTCTATGGGTGCCACGCCAACAGGTGTCTTCTCATGTTTTCACTAAGCTGGCGCTATACGATTTTGTTATTTTCGTAGGAACATGCTCTCTTAGGGGGAAAAGGCACCCTGAATTGGTAACAGTATTTTCTCCACGTTAGGATTGCCAGAAGCATCGTTTTAACGAACTGTACATCTTGCGTGTCCATTGTGAAGATGAGACTTGCCCGATTTCAGGTTTGACAGTTTAATCGTTGGTTCTTGCAGCAACCTTCTTATATAAATTAAAAAATAATAGTAATCACGAAGAAAACACGAAGACTGAGATACCGTCAGGTTGCCCGAACCCAGACACGATCATTCGATACGCCGCGGTTGGTTGTGAATCACTGACCGTCTGGTTAGTGAGTTCACGCCTGAACTATCTTGAGCCTAACTGGCCATGTAGGATTTGCTGCAATGCAATTTTGCGGTTAGTCATGTTAATTTTAGTTGCATTCTGTAGTGAAATAATCCACCCTGTTTATTAGCATGCTTGAACGATGCTTACTACATCAATCCGGATTGCGGTGCATTGGTTTCCTCTCCCAGTTTACCCCCTTTTCGGGAATACAGACTTCTACCCAAAAGAGACCATTTTGCCTCGCTTTCGCGAGCTTCGGTTGATTGGCGAAATGCCAGCTCCATATGGGGACCAAAAATTTTGCAGTTTTGGAGATGCAAATGCCTTCGCGAAAAGGAGTGTAAGCTCAACAGTTGTTGCTGTGATTTTACTGGTCAGTGCTAAGGACACTTAATTATTGCTAGTATCCTCGCTGGATGAATGCTCAGTTGTCTGGCTCTTAGTACACCTGAAGGCTCCAGGTGACTAGACGATCGTGTCGGAAAAATAAGGTGTTATTGTCTATTAATGGTGAGCACTGGACACTTTTCAACCTGTATTAGGATATTAACGATTTTTAGTGTGGTGGCTACAGTTTTTGTCGAGCAAAACCACAGGACTCTTCTTATGCCTTATATTCAAGGTTCATTCACAAATGTGACCCCCAGTTCACGTACCCTTTAATCGCACTAGCGAATTCCCCCTAGGATTCATCATAACACGGAAGTTTAGTCTGCTCCATGAAATGTTGCAGACCAATGTTGTCACTTTCTGTTTCGGCCTGAACTGAAAACTCCGCTTTCGGACTGGCTACGGAGTAGGCTTCACTTAAAAAATAGGCAAAATTTAATTTTTCTGATAAACCAAACTTGTAAAAATTCCAGGATGTCGATGTTTCGGGTTAATTTTGTCCAATTGAGAACCCTGACAACGTTTTAATGATATATGTGGTCGTGTGGTGAAAGCCACTCGCCATGTCGTTAAACCATGTTCCACCACAGTCAATGACAATTTGCCAGCACATCAACAATGCTTTATTTCGCATGATAACTTTGACCCATCAAACACTCAATGGTTTGACGATTTCCTAAGGAAGATAGATAGCTATTGGGATAATCCGACTGTCAACCAGTGGCCCGATTGTTTAGGCTAATTCAGCAACTGGTCGCACTACCAACATTGCTTCTCGAGCCTGCCAAGTGGTTAGAGCGCGAATTTACTGACCGGAAGGTCCGTGGTTCGAATCCGACCTTCGCCACTCGACTTACCCTGTCTAGGCTTGGGCAACCTGGCAGTACCCCAGCCCTCGTGCTTCCTTCGGGTGGCATGGCAGCTAGGCACCGGAAGGGTGCTACAGCTGAACGCTTTCTGCCACATAGATTGTTGTTTGGAGACACACAGGAAGACGATATTGCTTTACGTAATTTACTGAAGTCTAATCACACCTACTTACGGGTACCTTCTCAATCTGACCATTGGGAACTTGGTTTTGTTGTTATTTCCTACTATTGACCCACTGGTTCTTATTTACGTTTTTCCCCTCCACTTCATATAGTTGGTTTACGACTTCCTGCTTCGATTCCTAGAATCCCCAAACTTCCAACCAAACATCGCGAAACGGTACTTTGATACAAAATTTGTGCTTCAGGCAAGTTTTTATCGCCTCACTCTTAATAAGTCGTGTTTTAGTGGTTTTTAGTGGGTACTTTGATCAATTAGCCTGACTGTATCGCTTTCGGAAAGTTTGACAGCAATCAGTAAATTTATTGCTGAGCAATATTCCGCCTTTTTTCCACTTGATTTAACAACTAACTCCTTTTCATAGTTTTAGCCACGTTTTACTTCAGTGTTTCATAATAAGCTGTATCATCAAACCTGAATATATCAGGTTAGTGGTGCGGGGCAGAAGTGATATTGGCTGTTGGTAGTCTTGTATCGTCTGGGTGCTGCTGACTTTGTTACTTGTCTGTTCTAATTTGAGTCTTCCGGTTGTTTCGTTTCGCGGCAGCCTATGGAAAATTTATCTGGCGACTTTTATCAAGGTTGTTTTTGAGTTCAAATGCTACGGGGCCCGAGAGTTTTTCCCAGGCCTTCCCCATGTTGAAGAGGTATAATGGCACTGTACCATTGTACTCTGCTGTATACCACTACATACTCCCGACATCACTTTCTGCTATACGTAGAGTTTGAGCGCTTCACCAAAAGGCATTATACTTCGTTTTTGTTTACTGCTGCGTTCGATCTTCCAGCTGTATAAAGTGGTCCAGATCTTCACGGTCCCTGGGCATCGACAGTGAGAAGTGCAACCTGAGAGAAGACTAATGTGATGTCGAAAGAAAGCAAACAAGTGCAGTGACTGATTGAATATAAAATTTCCATCCTTCTAATTTTGCTGTCAAGGAGAGTCCATAACCATGGGTCAACCAGGTCTTTAGCCTCCCACTTAGCAGATCCCATACACCGGCGTGCCAAGATCCTTGGTAAAACGTTCATCAGTTATCTCTATCTGGTGCTTTCTTCCACCGCAGTTCTAATTGGAAGATCAGGGTTCGCCCAGGCAAACGATGTTCGGGCACGCGGACACATGAGAGCGAGGGGCTCACTGTTGCACAGCAAAACACATGAAGCATACAGCACACCAGCAATGTAAAAGAATGAAAGGGATAACAACAGGATCAAGGAAGCCTGGCGCAAAAGCAGTGGTCGCCAACTTGGCTGATAGAGTTGATTAAGTTCAATAGTGCATCATCATCATCATCATCATCATCATCATCAGAGACGGTAACTTGATACTGATGCTTCGATGCTCTACAAAGTGCACTCAAGACTACTTTACCAAATGTCTATATATTTACGGGGGGTCTGTTCGATATCATTTGAAGCAGTGACGATTTGCGTCCAGGGTATGTGAACTATGAAAACGTTCCAACGCGCATTGAAACTCTTGGTCTGATCACGTGACCAAATAAGTCAATGAATTTTGACACGAAATAGTCTCACGCTCTTACTCAGGGACCTCTTTATCTTTGTTCTTCTTGCTTACGTCGTGCATGTTCAGTTTCACAACATCTCGCTTTGTATTAACCAGAAAAGATCACGAAAACATTGTCTGTGTCGATGTGCAGTCCGGATACATGAATGCAGAAAAAAGTATGCAGTCACTCTGCTCCGTCACATTTGGCTTCCGGGTCCCACCACGTTTCCTGTGCTGAATACATTGTACGATGTCCTGAAGATAAACCTGCACTTAACTGTCGCGTGGGTCTGGATGGGCCTGTGGTCAAACAAGTAAGGCTGTCGTACAGACCCCTGATATCTCGGGAACACAGCGGCCTCATCTATTCACCATCCGATGCGGTGATTCCAACCATTTAGTCACAGCAACTGTGATGCGTACCCACCATACAATCCATAGGAACCATAGTTATTATCGATCCAAACAGGTACAATCGAAGTTAGAACATAGAGCCTAACTACAGATGCTTCCAGAGAATGTTGTATCCAGTCGTGAAATAACCTGATAAAAGAAGAACCAGAATTTACAAAAAATGACATTTTACTGGTTGGAATACAAAAATTCAAAACGGAAAAATCTTCCAAACAGTATGAGTGACCTGACTGAACCGGACAATAGGTAATCCCTCAAAGTAGACAATATACTGAAGAAATGCATTTGCCAGAAATCAAGAAGAGTAGTCCCAGAGCTGTGCGTCGTTGTAGAGAAGGCTAATACTGGTCATAAACAAAAAATTAAAAAGCCGCTCTACTGAAATAGACACCCCATAAAGATCGGCCCCAATGCCCAACAGGGGTGGTAATTGTCGGATAACCGATAGCAGTAACCCTCATATGGGTAAAGAGAAGGGTAGACAGAGAGAGGCAAAGAGAGCAGGAACTAAAGTTTACGGTAGCACCTCTGAGGTAGGTGTTCAATCAGAAGCACACAATGAGACCGATTGGGAATCATGAGACTGATGGACAGTCTTCCGTTTGAAAGCACTGGTCGAATTAGTAGTCACGTGAGTTGAAGCAACCAAAGTAGCTGCTCCAACTGCCGAATCCCTGCTCAGTACGTCCGACTGGACAAGGCGCATGAATAGAACGATGTTCATGAACATGATCAGTGCCAAACACGTAGTTCCAAGACAGTAATAAGGTAAACTGATTTGATCTCGGTTCAATACCAGCCAGCGCGTCATCCAACATAGGACCAGGAAGCGGAACACAATGAAGGTACCTTGGGACGAAGAAAGGTTAAAAAGTAGCGTAAAGTATCATTATCAAATGCGAAAGATGCACATAAGTGACACTCATGTTCGGATGTAGTTCAATTAAAATCAAACACTTCACCTATGGAACCTTCCAATGCATAACAGTCAACTGCAACTTTCGAAGCTTCTGAGATCAGAACGCTTCCAGGGAGTTTGCTTGTTGACACTGGATGGTAGAGCTTTTCTTGCGTCACACTCTACAGAAACGCAAACAGTACAAGGCAATCCATCTGGCCCTGGTGCACGACTAAGTATGTGCCTCACATCTACGAAGGGAAAAGCACTCCTGTAGGATTGAACAAGAGCATATCCGAACTAAATGCCAGCAGATGAGCCAATCAATATACCAGACTGAAGTGCGTGAGCTTGATATGATGGTTTAGCCAAAAACGATGTTTCCCTTCAGAAATACAGGACTAAAGTGACATTCAGCAACCCACAGCAGCGTTGCCGTCAACACGCGATCAGCTCAGCCCAAAGGTCCATGAGTCTTTAGACCACTTTAAGGTCATTTGGGGAACACCTTTCAAGTTAAGATTGGCTCCATGAGAGCCTAGACTGTCCAGTTTGTACATCAGAGACTTCGTAACGGCGATAAACCCAATGACTACCCGATGTAGTAAACACATCAGCACTTAGTCCTTTCCTCCCCCTTAATACGAGACCACAATGAAAAAAACTGCGTCTGGTTTATAACAAATGATCTGATACTAAATGATACCCAGCTAATGGAAACGTTTCAAATCCTGTGTTGAAGTGTAAATGTGAGGTTGATAAAAAAAGCTGACAAGGAAAAACGACTGAGTGAATGAGACAGAACTTGGATCAATCGGAGGTTAAATACCCACAAATCACATCCAAGGAATAATCTAAAGCAATGATAGAAATGCGCTGAATGTGGCTCACCTAGATTGGCATAGTTCACAAACTGGGAAAACAGACTGTCTTTCGGAAACTCGAGGCATTTCAATAGCCGTCGCATGTGTAGAAAGATTGAATTTATTTCCACAAGTAGCGCGACAACAGCATATCCTATATAGGTCCCGGATACCACAGCTGAGGTGAAACAGGTCATTACCTACACGTATGATGAATAGCCAGTGTAAACTTACCGCAAAGTGATGAACAAGAAGTTCAAACGTTGAACGCTCCCGTGACCACCAAAACATGTGCACCGAGTCTGCGATAAAATACCCTACAAAGGATTAGACAGAAGACCACCCAACTTACCAAGCGAGTAGGCAACTAAGGATAGAGAAAATGGAGACTGTGCAAATATCAAATCCTTTGACAAGTCGGGATGAATATAGAATCTGAAGTAGAAGCATTAAGGTGTACGTTGCTAATTACGCGAGCAGCGCGCCAATTCCCGTAACAGATGCATGGACGCAGGAAAGCACCGAATTTCGCCAAACAAACAATCCTTTCGATTCGCTACACTGTCGCTGCCTCGCGGTAGATGAGATACATGATGGGGGAAAACAAGAGGCGACATAGTCCACCAAAAAGTGAAAGGCAAACGATGAAGCGGTTGTGCCAATGGCAAGCATTTGAAAGGCAAAAACAAAGTTGTACAAAGGCTACAACTGGCTGCGATGATTTTTCGGCAGTGGGTCACGCCAAATTTGTCCAGTGATTGATCTGAAAATTAGATGCAGATTGGTGAGGTACAGTAACGGTATGCCGTAGTGTTACGGTTCGGTCACGCAGCGAGCAAACAATATGATAATGCGGATTGTGGCAATACTCTATCCCCAGCTATGTTGCTTGATACAGACTCCTAGCACGGCGAATAGTAAGAAGACGAGAACCTCGGACACAAACTTTAATAATCCAACAACACACGATCAACAGGCGATGCCCGGAGCTTCCGAACCCAAGTCAGTGGAAAGAATGGTATCCTGTACGTGGTCGGATTTAAGTTTTCTTGGAGTATCAATAGGCCATTGATTTTTCATAGTTTGACCTTGAAGAAGGAGGGAGTTCGCTAGCACACATAAAAACAGCGTTTTCTGGGGGATATTGATATCCCCAACAATATGTTATGCTGCTTATACATGATCGTCATCTTCTGGGGGATATTGATATCCCCAACAATATGTTATGCTGCTTATACATTGATGATCGTCATCTCCCGCGCAAGTGCCCATCCTTCACTTTCGTGCAACAGCACCGGTCGCACCGTGGCATCATGCATTCCTTCCTGCTCTGAACTGCTATTATTATGGCGGTGCCACAAATTGTTTGGGTCTGAAGTAGGCCGGACGAGATACTCAATTTTCAGCCCTCGCTTCATCGGCAATACCGCCAACAAAAGCAATATAACCACTCAAATAGGCCTAGCATTTACTTCCAAAGTTTTGGCTAGAAAAACCAGGTCGAATTGTGCACCCATCCACTGCGCATTTAGATGACAAAGCGCCTCACAAAACCGGTGTTCCGGTTATCTAGATTATTAACGTATCTGGTATTTAGACGTAATGCGAACCGAGCACCATGACATATTCCACATACTACAGTTCATCGCAGTTCTCTCCGGGAAGTAGCTCGACTCTAGAGGCAATAGACAGTTTGTGCGATTCCTTCATAATTAGTAAATAAAAATAATCGTTCAGGTTTCGGTGCCCAGCTTCCGTACCATCCGAATGAAGCACAGGATTGCGAACCTGCCAAGCTGACCTAGCCTGGACAGGAACATCCAAAATACTGCGGTTGGGTTCGAATCACAGGTCTTCCGGTGAGTGAGTTCACGCTTTAAGCACTGAACCACGAAGGTGAAAAAAAGTGAGAAAGGAATGTTCCTTTTTGGTGAAAATCAGGAGTGTATTCTGCGTTAACTTTTATGCGTCCACGGATGATGGAGCTTAGAGAATGAAGAAGCGAAATGAAGAGTTCGGTACTGTCTCCGCTTGATTTGACAATGTCATAAAATTGCCGACTGAGCCAAACTCCGCTTCCAAGTCAAGTCAGTGGTCAATGTATCCATGACCTGCTGCGACCCGTTCTTACGCGTAGCTGAGCCCTCACAGCGCATGTTATAATTACAGGACAACCACAATTAACAATGAAGGCTTCGTCCTGTAATTGAAGCAAGGCTATGCGCGAAAGCTGAGTCACTGTACGGCTGCTTCATTCTTGTTGGAGATTGTCAGCCGTGTGCATCGTACGGACCTCCAGGGAGTTTCGAACTGACAATCTCCTGGCTAGTTGTCTGAACACTTAATCGTCCGGTTATGGGCGAGTGGTCACCAGTGTGATATACTCACACTCAGAATTCGGCGCAACTCATGCATCAGTCATGAATAATAAGCAGTGCATTGAACGTTAGCTGCATCTCGTAAGCTCCAACACAGAATTCAAGCACTGTGTTTGAGCATACGTCATTTCCGCTTTCCAAACGCTATGGACAGCAACTTCGGATGATTCATCAACTGCCGCAGTCAGTTGCGCCTCTGTGTTTACGACCCTCAGTTCCCTAGCTGAGGCTTCTGTGCTTGGTTGCTGCCCCAAGGATTTTCGTGAGATGCGCACCACCGGTGAAACCCAGTAAGAATGAGACAGTTTCACAGTTATTCTCGGCTTTTCAGCATAAATCGGTTTCTTTTACGGGACAAAATATCCATCGAAAATTCTCAAATCTCACTTGCCACCAATCACTTTTAGACTGATGTCTCTATTCTAGCGACTTTTTCAGAATAGCAGTTGTATCCGCAAGCTAGCCGCTGGAACTAACAGTACATCACGTTCGCTGGATGCATGTGTCGTGAACCAGCTGTGGAACTTGTCCATTGTTTCCAAAACTGTTCCGAAAAGAAGTGCCCTTATTGGTAAAAATCATGGGCCAATCAGAATGAAGCACTTTCAGCTCGCCGTTTCATGAGTATTCTAATGTGGCTTTGTGGAAACTTCTGTGGTCACTTTATTCACCCTATAAATACAGCTGCAGCAATCTTACTCTGTCTTCATTAAAGACAATCTCAAGGTACCATGCCTTCTGATATACCATGGTGGGCGGAACCGGAAGCCAAGGACCAACATAGGAGACCCAGCAAGTTGAAAACTGTCATTCCTCTGGCATCCGACACTCTTAACATGCTGTGCATTAAAATTGTAATCCAAAACACGCGGGCTTCTCTGTCGTCCTTGAGCATGGATGGTGAGCGGATTCAAACGTGCCTTGTTTCTCGAATCCTTTGAATGCATTTCCTGCGGATGGAATGGAACTGCTTACGTTCCATTTCAATTAGCTGTTGGTGCTAATGACACTGTTAGAGTTGAGGGCTGACCGAACAGTTCTTCATTTATTCGTTCTCAGGCCTTATTTCTTCTCAGCCGTTCTCGATTTGACAAGTAGTGATGTACTTTTGGAAACAGATTGTTCGATTGATTAATGTATGTTTACATTGATTTTGTGGTTCCTAATATTGCGAGTGCAGTCTCACTGATTTCTCAAACGCACTTTATTCTCGTTACACTGCGAGAACGTCTCTCGTATAATGAGGTCTTTTAGGTCCTTCTGAGTGTTGTGTTTGCGTTTGGTTCACGTGCTAACATGTCCGATCGGATAGCTGTGTAAGTCTGTGGAGTATTCGCAGTAAATCGGAATTCTCTTCAAATCAGGGCTATGCCTTGTTGATGGGTATAGTTGTAAACCGGTGACATCGTGCCAAGTTTACAAGCATATTTTCGACTTTTCGCACACTCATTTTTCCCTTTTTTTGTCCTTTTCGAGCAGCTTCTTGAACTCTTTGACAGCGAAGATCCCCGAGAGCGGGATTTGGTGAAAACTATATTGCATCGCGTTTACGGAAAGTTTCTTGGTCTCCGAGCCTTTATTCGGAAGCAATTTAGCAATATTTTTTACAAGTGAGTGCACCTCCTGGCATCTTATTTTTCCAATCCCTGAGTACTTCACCTCGTATATACAAATATTTTTTCGTTTTTGATGCTTTTTGCTGGTTAACGAGTAAATGCTGTTTCAACCACGATGTTCGACAACGTTCTAGTATCGGATTTATTGGTTTCAGCTTTCACCATCATCCCTCTCATCCACTTGCTGTTGTTAATTGGAACTATGAGCATTGCCTATTCACCATTCATTCTGGATAAGCTACCTTATGAATGTACTGGGAGCCCATCGTTATTCCTTTTCTCCATTTGCTGGTTCATTAAGTATGCTTCGTATGAGCAGACTATATCACCGCCCTATGGTTAAATAATGTTACTGGTAACAACAGACTTTGAAACATACTGCTTACCACCTACATTTCTTTGAAGATGGACCGAATACTTCAAACAATTGGTCTCCTGACCCTCTCTATCGCAATCTATGGAAACAAGCTATGTTTCGTCGTTTCGGAACCACCTGATTTTAGAGTTTGACTTCGGTGAAATATGGTTAACGGTTTTCCGATTTGTCTGGGAATCCACGTTGTCTTCATTAGTTAGTAGAAGCTTATATAAACCTGAGCTATCATAATTGTCTCTACAAAACGGATAACTATCTTAGTGTCTCGGTCCAATTAGATTCGAAGTAGGAAATTTTTTATATCTATCTAAATTCGTGTTTCGTCTGCACATATTCGTACTTTTGTAGTACATAATTTTGTGCTCTGTTGATTGGCGTGTTCCTTGCCTGGGCCCTTTATCCATCACTGGATATCATTGCGTTCAAAAAGCTCTCGGTATACTTCCCATCATGCAAACAATGGCAGTCATGTGGAAGAAAGTTCTGAACTAATCGAGTTGTCGCTTTAAGGACTTGTGGTAATAAATCCACTAGTTGTCCGCCACAGTATTGAATCCACCGATTCCGGAGCCCAAACTGACATGCACTCGCCCACAGGTAAGCATACTTCGACATATGGCATTTGTTGCGGCCAAAACGTTCACTGACTCCGTCCCACACGTCTGTAACACAGTTAGTAACACGCAGTTAGTTGTCAATCACCTAAACGTTGCACCGTATCTGGGCATCGAGGTCGAGACGGTCCAAGTGGTTAGAGTGCGCATTTACTGACCGGAAGGTCTGTGGTTCGAACCCGACATCTTTCTCTCGACTTTCCCTATTTAGGCTTGGGCAACTTGGCAATATCGCAGCCCTCGTGCTTCCTTCGGGTAGCATGGCAACTAGGCACCGACGGGGTGCTATAGCTGAACGACTAGACTAGACCAGTATCTGGGCTTCTCGCTAGTGAAATGAATAAAAATTAATCCGATTAAATCCCAGCAATCTGTTTCACATTTCTGTTCTCAACCTCCATGCTCTGTGTCAAACTGGGCCGCAGGTAGCTCTTGCTCACAAGTTTTCTCCTTCGACTGATTTTTGTTCTGTCTCGTAGACACGCATACAAGACCCGAGTTCGGTGATGCATCTCAAATTACTCGCACCTTACTCTTCGGGTTTTTCTGATGCAGTAGCTCCTGGCAGGTGACATGAATGCTCTTATTGGCTGACTAATTCCTGATGAAGCCTGTTTCGGCGGCTGATCCAGGGTTAGCGCTCAACGTATAGATAACGGTGACTTCAATTATTTTCTGAGCATCGTTTGTTTCTAGCCGGCACATGCGTTCACATGGTGTGATTTGGAAACCACCAACTGTAAGCCGGCCGTGGGCTCATTCGGACCACATGGCAATCAGTTGTTTATCGAGAGCTTCCACACAAGATTGTCGTTCATTTTGGAGTACACCTGTAGACTCCGATCACTGCGTTGTGCAGACGCGCATATCTATTCGCTTCCCCTTCTAGAATGTGTCATTCAATTCACCACCCGCAAGACGTCTCTGTATCTCTACAATATCGAGTTGAGTTGGCTGAGAAACTCCCAAAACTCGATGGGCCCAATGCTGATTTGGATGACGACTGGGAACAAGTGAGATGCCCTGATCGCAGGTCTTTGAAACCGTCCGCACGAAGGTGCTAGCTCGCCTCATTAAATACTGGATCTCGTCACGATCAACAGCCCTGAATGAAGCCAGGAAAACTATGCCGACAACAAACTTTCGTGATGGTGCGCGTAGATTCCTCGAACGCCGAATAATCAAGAGCCTTAGGATTGGCGCAGTGCTTTGGTGGATCGCAAAAGCCTGAGATGTGGGAAGGCTTTTGCAATGGTGAACAATCCTATCCTGTCCCAGCTCGTTCATTCAACTTGTCGGAGAAGAGTAGGTGTCAGTGAAATGATTTCCCAAAATTATTAAACTTCAGTCCATTCATAGCAACATCATCTTGAACAGTGTAGTGATTACAGAAAGGTTCATTCGGACCCCATCAATTCACGCTCTGGAAGGATTAACTGAATCTGAGTGGACATCAGTCAGCCTTTGATGACAGAAGTACAGCGTGCGATCTCATTGTTTTAACGCAATAAAGCACATGCACCAGCCGGTTTGTACCCTACAATCTTCAAAGAATGAGACGAATTGGTCGTAGCTAACCTAACAACCCTATTAGAAAGCGTCTGGAAAAAGGCGAAAATTCCAACAGAATGTAGCGCTTCGACGGTGATTTCCCACATTCACCGAGTGTGAAGATGTGATCAACGATGCCTCCATGCGGTCGAAATATCGCTTGATTCTCATGTGTCGAGGTTTTGCGTGCCACCATAGAACGACGAAAAATCAGTGACCCCAGGAGCCTCGTCACAACAGGAGGCAAAGTAAACCTCTCTGGTTACTACATTCAGTGCGAGTGTCATTTTTGAAAATGGGCCCTACAATCGATTCACTCCAGTTTTCTGGGACGGTCTCTTCCTCCCAGATAGACCCAAATAGGCTAGACAGGCACTGGCTGGGAAGCCCACCGGCCTCCTTGAAAAGAGCAGGTGGAAGGTCGTTGCGACCAACAGCAGGGTGATGCTTGAGTAGGAAATACACTCGGACACTTCTCAGACTGAAGGCTCTTCCATATTCATGGTTCACCTTTCCGTTGAAAGCCGAGATTCTGGGTCGGAGGTAGCAGGTTGGCAGCTGAGTTGCTGTTTGAAGCACTGTAGAGAGCGGCTCAAACGTTCTTGATAACCTAAGTTCATTTGCCGCACGGACTGGCATGCGCTTCGTACCTGCAAAGTGTAAATTGCTGCTACAGAACTAGTTGAGATCAATCCCAACCAACAGGCTTGCAGACGAGTCAATCGACATGGTAGATAAATTTGTTTGCCTGGACAGTTGTATAAGTCCCGGTGGAGTGACTGGAAATTAGATTACTTCTCAGTCCTGGAAGGTCAATACAACTCCTGCCAACCTCAAACACCTATGGCGCCGACATGACGTCAGTCGGTCTAGCACAGAGTTTACGCTGCGGCAGTTCTATCTATACTGCTTTGTGGATCAGAGACGACCTCTACGCGTGGAAGACATACGAAAGCTGTATATGTTTGACCGTCGGTGTCTCCGAAGCAATGGTCGGGCACATCGGATTCCTAATTTTAAGGCGGAATTCCACAGGGATCCTGCTTTATCGCTCGCAGTCAGGTGCTGATACGGCCGAGAAGCCCACCCCACGCAAGATTTGCCGAAAATTCGGGACGCTTGCCCGTTCGTCATCAAACCGAGATCTGATTGGTCGAAACTCTGGACCCAGCAGCCAATCACGACTCAGTATTGGCCGAATGCCGGTTGCTACTGGCGCATCTAGAACGCGTCAGAATTTCCAAAAAGTTATTGCCGCCTACGCTATATATATGGAGCGCTGTGCAAGTATTCCTTATTTCGTTTAGGGCGTTAATGTACCTTGTGCACCTGTGGCTGTTTTGGCGTGAACGCTAGCTTGGAAGCTTAGACCAAGAACTAAGCTGAGAAAAATACCGTTACTACATCAATGTTGACAGATACACCTTTTGGAAATGCAAACTGTTTTGGATAAAGTAAATAATTTTGTTGCACAGTCGGATCATCATCATCATTGTCAGCTGTAATAACTGCGTACTTGTCACACAGTGGCTGTAGCTGTCACAGTTTCGTTCACCGGTGATTCGGGGAGGTGGGTTAGGTAGCCGCGCATTGGACGCGGGAGCTGATACATTAGTGCGTGAATACAGCACTGTAGGTGGACTGTTTAGTGGGGGGATTGGAAGGGGAGCTATATATATTGAAGGCAATTGCTTGGATGCATGAGCGTCATTGAGGGCGCGACTGGGTCATATCTGACAATGTCTCTAACGCTTGGTATGTTCCATCTCGGTGTCCGCATTCAGGAAGACGGCGTGACCAGCGCAGCTGAGTTTCCTAGTAGTGGTTTTTATACTTCACTGCCCAGTCATTGTTTGACCGCCTCTGGCCTCCCTTGCACCCTTCACGTGGTTGTGCGAAAAGAGCCCTTCGATTAAGTCGGTCGACTGGCATACGCAGCACGTGACCAAGCCAGCGCAACCGATGCAGTGTGATCAGTTCATCTATCGAGGGTGAATTATTTCTCCCGAATACCATTCGACGTACTTCAGGATTGCTGATCCGGTGTTCCTACCAGATTTGGGGCAATGCTCCGAAGACATCGATGGTCAAATACTGAAAGTCTTTTGACGTCCTCGGCGCGCAGCGGCCAGGTTTCTGATCCATATACTAATATGGAGCGCACCGCAACATTGTAAATCGACCCTTGACAGAGAAGCTGGTGTCACGCCTATGCCACAGGTGGCGTAGGTTCGCAAAAGCTGCCCTGGCCTTCCCAATCCGGATGAAAATTTCATCTTTCGTGAGACCACCGGGACTGATTCAGCTGCCCAGGAAGACGAATTTGTCTACTACCTCAATCGGTTCATCCGCAAGCATGGTGCGAAGGTTCGAGCCCACCCAGTCTTGCAGTAGCACTTTACACTTATCAGGTGTGAAGCGCATGCCGAACCGTGAGGCGGAATTATTTAGAGTAATTAATATTGTTTGCATTACCACGAGGTCAGATCCCAGAAGAGCTATATGACCTGCGTACTCGATATATGTGAGCGGACGCCCCGGGAGCACTTCGACCCCACAGACATTAGAGGCTGGTAGTGAGTCTTCCATGATCGCATCAATGACGAAGTTGAAGAGGAAAGGTGAAAGAGGGCAGCCATGTCGGACACCACGTGATGTGGCGAACTTAGGCGAGAGCTTCCCGTAGACCTTCACACGGCCGCGGGAGTTAGCATACAGCGCCTTAAGGAGGGTCAAGAATTTATGGGGGACACCTATGCCCCACAGACACTGCCGTAGTGCCTGACGGTCCACAGAGCCAAAGGCAGCTTTCATGGCTGCTGGAAGCCGTGTCGCTGTTCCAGAATTTGTCGGAGTGTGAAGATCTGATCGATCTTGCAGGACGGAATCCAGCTTGGTTTTCACGGATTTGCTTCTTTCTCTGTTCTTTCAACCTTTTGTGTGAGGTCCGTACCTGTGAAGTGTAAAATGCTGCTGCAGGTTTGACTGGAATCGAACCCGAACGTCACGCTTCATCACCATCATTGTTATCAGCTGTAAGAACCTTGTTCTTGTCGTACAATGGTCTTAGCTGCTACAATAGTGGCAATAGCTCGGATGCACGAGCGCCGTTGAGGGAGCGACTGGTCCATCCGATCGATCTGGTATGTAATTTCCTTTCGTAAGTGTGTTTCATTTTACCCTGGAGTGAGTTTATGCATTGTAGCAAGTGCTATATCCGTGGAAATTTTTTTATCTACAATGATCATAGTGTACCCTCAGGTGTGGATGCACCTGGGAAGAATATCACGAAGCGGCTTTGTGCTGCAATGACTCTACCACGCATATATGTATGCATTTTTTCACGGGATGTGCGTAGCACTGCCATTGAGCAGTTGACAAACCTCGGTGCGCTCTTTGCAGTGCCCAAACCGTCAGATAACCACATGACAATGTTATTGTTAACGGTGTAGGACATGAGTCGCATTCGAATCCAAAAAGCGTGAGTCGGAGGACGTAACAATGTGTGCGCCTCTTCCCACGTTGACTTATTCTTGATGCCTTTACGAATGTTATCCGCCACAAATCATAATATTGGGGGTAAACTGATTGATCTTCGGTGTAGTAGAACAGTTATTCCGATTTGATACGTGAAAAGGAATTCTCGTTTTTACTATTAGATTGTCACGTGTACCTTCAGGGAGAAGACGGAAGGTTGCATCTCAGTCTTCAGTATCACGATGGAGAACATCTCTTCCACATTTGAATCGTTTGATACGTTGTTCTTGTTGGTAATCATCTTGATATTGGACATGGCGTTCTTTTAGTGCAATGAGATAAACCTTTTATGGCTGTTCACATGCGTAGGTGGAAGTATGAAAACAAAGAGCAATAGGCTGAGGGTTGTGGGATGCGGAAACTAATGGATCGGCTTTATATTCTGTCACGTCAAAATTCTCGGAGGTTATCGGAGACGGTTTGTTTTTACGGGTGTGGTGCACGGCGACCCCGCCACGTGGTAAAATAATCTTGGTGCTGTTTGTGATGCCTAGAATCAACGGTTGAGGTGTTTCTTGGGACCTGAAATGACGTTGAACCCACGACTGATTGCTTCCGAAGTTCGCCATCCTTTCTGTCAGTATGTGTTCAACATTCCTAGCAAGACTGAATTGAAAAATTGAGGTGCGTGTAGCTTCATCCGACAGGGGACATCCGAAATGCGGATTAAGATTAACCTTGACCCATGTGGTGAGTAAATGTGAAGGTAGCGAAAGTGTCTGTCTTAAATTGATTTCGAAATTTTTGAAACGTGAATCATCATCCGGAATCATCCAAATATGTATTTTAAGCTTTTCTCATCTGAAAGGGAGAATGTTTCATTTCATACTTGCTCGGGGATATTCGGGAACGCGTACAATTAGACGGGAAACCAAATAAACTGCTTAGTATGGGCGAAAATTGGTACTCATATTGGGACGCGGCGATAACTGAAACAGAGATACTGCCGTTTTTCTCCTAGGATCAGACTGCTTCGAAACACCATGAAAGTTGATAATTTTGAGCAGCGCATCAGACGTACAACGATACAGTTTGGACAACAAATGATCTGTGGCTAATTGTCCGAAGAGCCTCGTCCTTATCCATTACTATCTTCAGACTGAATAGGGTCATTTCTGGTCAATAGTGGCCTAAAAGCACCACGTAGTCTTATGCATCGTTATGCGGAGAATTCCACTCTTTCGACTCATCCTAACCATGTTTGTTCGGCAATCTTGTTAGAACTTAGCCAAAAAGCTCGAACTTTTCGACCACAGTCGTCTAGTCAATGATCCATTTATATCGAGTTATAAACCGTTGCTATCAATTACGAGGATTTGATAGAGAAAAATGGAAAGAACATGCTAGTACGGAGAATTTGGATGTTTCCGTATTCAGCGGGTGACAGGATTTCTGTACTGTCTTGAGGATCAGAATGCGACAGTCGGCCAGTTACATTGATCAAGCCTATTGGTGACAACTTGAACTTTTGAAGCACCGGTGCGTTTAGGTTTCACTAGCATATGTAGGCCTTTTCAGCTGTTCTCTGAAAGTATCTCACCCCACGTACGACCGCAAAATAAAAAAAACTCTAAGCTATGCCGACCGTTCCGTGATAACATACGGTAGGTTGCCTAACTCGCTGCTTACAGCAGGACGCATAAGCGGAGAAATGCGACCGCACGCGCTTCCTATCTTTCTTTGCTGTCCTCTTTTGACTTTACTCCAGCGTCACAATACTTAGTCTTCCGTGGGTCCCAGGTGTACGCACCTCAGCCAGACATTCAGGGAGGTAACTGACTGCACACCACCAGTCACATCCACGGCTGCGCTTTCATTTTCCCTTTTTTATAGAAAATTTTGGTGTTCGAACAAGCTGCTCTTCTGGGCACTTTTGACACTATCGTTAGTGGGCAGTTTAAGATTTCGGAATTTTCAATGAGGATTTCGTTCTGCAAGTGAAGTCATTAGTTTTTGAACCGTACTTTCGTGCACCTTCATGAGGACTGGCAAAATAATAGCGTTCTCTGCAATTTCTACTTAAACATTAACCTACTGTATCCCTGATATGATCAAAGAATTGGTAACCCTTCTATCCACCTCGAAACGTTCAAATATGATGGGAATTACCGGTGGTTTCAGCATGTCCTCATATTTCTTCAACCAACTTTCGAAAGTCCGTCCGGACTCAGCGTCGAAGTTGAATTCAATAATCCAGCTGGCAACAGCATCTGTCGAAGAAGTCGGAGGTCCAACCGTTTTTGTCGCTTCCGCGGACATACTGCGTATCAGAGACTCAGCAAGCCTCAGTTGAGCTTCTTCGAACTGTTTTTGTTGCTGAAAATTACTTGGAGTTGCTCTGCCGAAATTGACATCGTAGGTTCGTTTTGTTGCAATTATTGTAGCTTGCTGACGGCAGTGCAATTTCTTTGTCGGTTCATGGCTTCCTGCTCTGCCCAATATGGTATAGCAAAAGACACGATAGCTTCAGACGGCGTTTTATGGAGACAAAGGAAGATTATTAAAGCTGTATTTATAGGGTTATCACATAATACCCCGCAAGGTCGCGCTAGAAACCTGAGGGGGAGAAAGCCGTCGACCTACATATGCTCGATTCAGATTGGCTTACATTCTGCCTCCGTTTATTCCGTGACCCGTACGCGACATATCCATCCAATCGACGTGATGTCTGGTTATTAAGAGCGGCTGGTCTCTAGACACATGCTCACACCGTAAAAGCACGTCAAATGCGTGAAGTGCCACACTTCGCCGGCAAACATATGCTGGTATCACGCCTTCGACCGAATTGATACTCATGGGGCTTGTAAACATATCTGTTGTCTATTCCCACAATGGTCGTGCAAGAGTTTATAATGAACAGTCGGAATGTCTTCTCAACAAGACTTCAAAAATGTGTTCTTTCTTTTTGTTCAGTTTTGTCGTCGGGATCATCGTGGGATACATTTCAAAAAGCAGAGTATTGGTACCGAATTCACCTCTATAGAAAAACCTGTGGGCTTGTATTTTGCAGACTACATTTTCGTGTTACCTGATCATTAGTCCGCACGCTACCGCAGATAGTTTTTCAGGAATGGTCGCTGTTTCTGTTTTTGACTGTCAGGATTTCCACCCCCGCCATGTCAAACTGAAACTCCACACAAAGGAGCCCGAGGTCTGCTGAAATAGAACATATGTAAATCCACACATGCACAACATCCGCCCGCAATAATGTCATCCGACCGGTGATGATACGTTTGCAGCCGGGTTGTCTAGCTCTGTGAGTAAATCAGTAGCCACGGATAACACTGTGTTTCTAATATGAAGGTCCAATATGATTGCGGTACAAAATGATGTACCGGACCACTTGTTCGATCACTCTATATGGTTCGGTAAAATATCGCGATACCATCCCCCCCGTCTGTTGAAATATTGTGAATTTGCCCATGCTGGCTTGCAGAGCCTATTTACTCCAGCTGTGTTGCACTGAATTTCATTAGCAAATGTTCCATCCAACAGCTAACCATTTGATTTGTGTACCTATGGTCTCTCTGACCGTAGTTTTTGTTTTATCTCGGGCTCTACGACGAACGTTTTACTTTGTTACCTTTTCGTTAGTGATGTGATGGAATTTCTTTTCTGTTTACTATTGGAAGGTTCATTTACGAAACTGAATGTCACAACGGCATTGCGGAGCTGTTGGAAATCCTTGGCAGGTATGTATTCCTTCCGTGGTTCCTTGTGTTAGACGTAGATAAAGTAAGGATGTCCGTAATAACCGTGCACTGTGCTGACGCTTTTCTGAATCCAAGGTTATTTTTCTCCATGCAGTAGTTGACAGCAGTAATTGTGTATTGTGAGCATCTTTTTGGTTAAGGTTCTCCTCACTATATTCAGATGTTATGATGAAGCTCACTCCCTAACTGTTCGCACTATCCATTTCCAGCTAGTAAAAGACCTGTAATTCTGAGTTGAACTTTTGGTGCACCCCAGGATCACCGTCCAAAATTAGCGGGGATTTTCGGGATCCGTTGATCGTTCAGTTTCGAGTACGCGATTTGGCTAATTGTTCAGTAGCGTTCCGTCTCTTTGAATTTGCACTCTAGCCATCATCTGAACAGCTGAAGCTAAGGAGCACTAAGTCTGAAACACTGACAGGTCGTTACAGTTGGTTGGAACACTAATAGTGAACATCGGTGTCGGATTGCAGTTCATCTATGAATTAGTTTATGTAGACGCTTGCGAACGAGTTATGATTTAATGATGCATTTGCTGCGGCTTTTTGCCCTACTTGTGCTAGTGTTTAGTAGTGCTAGTGTTTTATTACCATGGTGAAAATGACTTTATGAGACATTTTTGCAATCAACCAGACAGCCGCTATGTCTGTAGGGGTTGCGCACTTGACCGACAGGAAGCGTTCGTATCCAAGGTCTGGTTACCATACGGAGCTTTGTCGCAAGGTTTTATGCCGTTAAACGATGTGCCCCATGGTAGTTGCATTATGTATTACTAGCACAGTTAGCGTTACCTTATCGTTGACGACCTTCTCTTCCTTTCAGTCGAATTTCCATTCATTCTGGTATAAATAGCCATGATGTTGCCAACAGTTTTTAAGAATTATCTACCAAGATAGTGTACAATCAGTCCGATTAAATGTACTGCATTGACAACCCCTTCTACCGGTTCACAGCATCATCAACGGATTTGCTCTACCTCTAAAAGACGAACACAAAGTGTTCCTTATGCGAGTTCTCCTCCCTCTGCACAAAGTCAAATCGGTCAGTGTCTATCATGCCCAGTTGGCTTATTGTGTTATCCAGTATCTGGAAAAGGACTCTTCCCTCACGCAACCAGTAAGTTCTTTCGATGCCTTTGAATGCCGAAGTTCCTTCGTTTAGGAATGTCCCAGTCTTCAATGTCTTCATGATTCATCTGTCTTATAACAAGCTTTACATAAATTTCTGAATTCATGAATCCCACTAAGTCTCATGGCTTTGTTACGAAAATATGGGCAGAACAGTTTTCAAACTTTGGTAATGATAGACCTTTCTGGGGATTAGTGCTACACCTTGTGACGGTTCCAATAAGGATATATCTCCTAACGCAGCGCTGTTATCTCACAGGACCAGCAATAACACTCTGGCGTAGGATCGAAGGAGGGAGACGGACCCAAGCAGTTCGACTTTCTTTTTGGCGGTCTAACTGCAGGCGTCTGTGGACGGTCAGTCTGACTGCCATGCTAGACACGAAGAACAAGAGTCTAGCGTATTGCCTGTAGAGCTTGGCAGATATCCTGCGGGGTTGACGGAATCTACGACACCACACCTGTTATTTTTACCTGCCTCCTAAAAACTACCCCTAAATAATACTAAGTCCTAGTCGGAGGATAACCCCGGCTAGCAGCACATATATTGAATCACACGCACCACTATTCAGCGCGCAGCCACTGACCTATCGCTACGCTCCACTCCGTTCCCTAACGACGCACTGATGATTGCTGATGAAATGCTTGCAATCAAATTGCTGGGCTCAGCGAACGAACTAAGGGCCATACCAAACACAGTTAATTAAAGCAGGAATAGAGAAGTGGGAATTTATTCCACAGTCACATTAAGATATTCTAAAAAAATGTGAACCTATGTATTGTAATTTTCAAAACAGCCCGAGACGTTCTCAAAAATTCGTGGCGCTTTGGTAGCGTACCACTAATACATATTTAATCCTTTCTATTTATTTGAGTGGAGGCCTAAAAATATCTAAAAAGTTTCAGTGTTGGTGAAGTTTAAAATTACAGCTGACATGAGTCTCTGTCCCCGAATTGGGTTGGCAAGTTTTATCTCTTGGTGCCCAAGCCGAAACGATAGGTTTCACTGAAGGAATCCGACGTGAATAAGTTCAGAATGTTTCCGAAAGTCCTCTAAGTGTAGCAGTACTTTTCTTCCCAAGCTTTAGTGTCTGTGCTAAGACTCGTGGTGTTTTCAGGTTTCAGAATAAGACTTACTTCACTGTCTTCGGATGACACACCTAACGCCGAACAGCTATAGTAAGCAAGAAAGTATGCTGTGTTTCGTGTTACGTTCAAAGTGGCCGCACCGGGTTCGATTGGCAGAGCACACTGTACTCAGCGCTGTAGCAAGGCTAGATTTTCGGCTGGGTTAGTTTGGCAGGTATGGATTGTAGACGGTGATTTTAGTTCATTTGTACTTGCATGGTAACACCTACCGAACCAGATAGATATTCTTAGCATAAGTAATCCTTGATCAAAGTCCGCAGTTTGTTCATCATTGACGACAGTCTAGAACACAATCCCCATCAATAACAGGTGACGGCTGACGAACCAGTACCTGTGTTGATGTTGAGGAGCTCCAGCTAATGAGTCTGTAGCCCAGAAGTTTGAAACTTATATCGACATGAAATGAACAACCCACTCCCATTATCTGATGGGGTTTTGTCCATGCAGAAATGGCTCTTGACCTTGTTTCTGGTGTCCAACGGCCAACCGACCATNTCCAACTGGGATGGACGGCAAAGTATGTCCTGTCGCGATGAATAGAGTGATTCCTTGAGTGTCTCAGAGGAGCATTCGGTACGAGCAAATGCTGAACTGACGAATGACGTGGGACTTTTGGGACGCTATCTAGCCATCATACATAGTCACCTAAGTGTAACCCAACCTCTGAATCCCGACTGCTCTTTTCTATGTCCATGCAACCTGACACTATCTAATTCGTCGTGCCTCCTTCGGGCGGCACAGCAGCCAGGCACCGAAAGAATGTTACAGCTGAACAAGTATTATTATTATTATTATTGAAATGTACTCATTTGCATACGAATTCGGTCTTGACAGTAGGTTCACCTTTAACCCATCTGAATCAGTCCTTTATGATGTTCTTGAGAAATTGAATGTGCTACACCAGCCGCCACCAGTTGGTACGATACTCGAGATATCGCGATACATTCTGTAGACGTAGCGCACTACTCACAAGGTGACTGAAAACTTCGACACCTCATGACCGGTTCTGCCCTTCTTAGGGCTCATTAGGTAGGCCCAGTCTTCTGAGTTTTTTTACAAACGTAAATCGAAAGTGCACGAAATTAGCTAAACAAACTGATTGTTTACCAATTCAATTTTGATGGGAGACTTAACTGGAACCCAGCTGAATCCCTTTTATGACATTGTTATTATTAATGGCGCTTGGATGACTGTCGATTGGGATTGAAGCCTATTTGGCTCTTTCATTCAATGTAATAACGAAACCTGCTTGACCGGACGTTGACTTAGTTTATCCTCAGAGACTGCAGAATCCGAGTGCCAAAACAGACGCATTATCTTGCTGGCGTATTTCGGGTTTCGAAAGTCCAATGTGAACCAGTGTGTTGACCTATGTGGATTGGTGTTTGGACAATAAAATTAGCAAGATTGAATAGAGCGCGAAACAATGAAGTTTTGGACGCGGGAGTACAAGTGGTGAGCATGTACATGTTTCGAACTTATACTACGGACGAAAGAAGAAGCAGGCGATGAGAAATGTAGTAATGAAAGTTGGTCGGATCAAGCAGTTTGCTGAAAACGGAGGTAGCGTGAGCAGGCTAAAGTTGGTGTTTACTGGTGACGGATTGTGAATTCGCCGTGCCAATGTTATCTGAGAACGAGTAAGATCAGGGTTAAAGGCGTGAATCGTAAATTTACTGCCCGGTCGCTCATGCCCTATCGGGAAAGTTTTCATCACTGTTGACACATGCTTCTCTGCGGTACAACCACAAGGTTTATTTAATTGTATTTGAAGAAGATGGGTGAGTGCTGACCCATTGCAAGCATTTTGAGAGTGCTCTGAGTGCTCACTCAGGCAGTTTGGAAAAAAAACTGACAGCACAAAGGCCAATGACATCGATTAGCCGCCATTTTTCCAATGTCTTCAACAAACTGCAGGGATAATCCCATCCTTGAAGGCGGACTACGTCAACATCACTTAAATTCATAATGTTTTTTCATACCTTTCTCCGAAGTCTTACGATTCCCGGGTTCACTCACTTCTCAATGGCGGGGCGTGGTGTGCTCGTTTACCGTAGACCTGAAAAGCGACAGCGGCAATGTGTAATCGGGGTCCACGGGGGTGTCCCGTAATGACAGAAAACAGCGATTGACTCTCACCACCGACAAATGATGGTCATATAGTAGACGTGCATCCAAGATTGATTTGTTGTCGGGCACCACTTTGTCGAGCGATTTCCGTCGTTTCGGAAACAGTCCGTGATTGTTATATGCTTGAAACAGACGCTACTTGTTTTCTGCGCATCTCGTATCCAACCCAAGGTGATCACTCAATTGAGCCTCAGCAGCGTTTCGTCTACCTTCCTGAGCGTTCATGTCACCACCACCCACAAAGTCGTCTGGGCTTTTAGCCTCTAGTGAAACATCACGCCTTTACACGGTGTTAGGAGTTTTGCTTGTGGTACAGTGCCATCAGACCCACTCCACCACTGAATATCAAACCAAACAGTAGAACTGCTTGTATCTTGGAGAAATATCCCAGCCGATCCAAAACGTAAGTTGGTCCGACTAATGATCAGACGTCAACTAGCAGTGAGCTTGCCAGCCGACGTGAAGCCTAATGAAATCCGAATGCTAAGGAAATGGAGGAGGTACATAAAGCCTGGAATGTTTGGAGATTGGAAGTAAAAGAGACTTGGAAACCTTGAAGATTATTTCAGTTGATTTGGGTGACCGGTCCCTAAAAACCTGTCAGCGACGCCATCGAGGATCAGAATGAAGCGGTCATCTTGAATAAAGAAGCACCCTTCGACAGTTGAGCCTTACGCAGCAATTCTCGTAGCCACCGACTGCCACTTATCTGGAGCCTAAGGCTGATGTGGAACCCTGGACGGTGAACGTGGAACCCCTACGGTCTCAGAGGTTTATGGTTGTACCACCGGGCTTCTGATCCGGATGACCCTCCATCAGCATGGTTCAAAGATGGAGATGAAGTCCTTAGCCAGCGCTTATCTGACATGTATGCATGCATTTGAGTGAAAGACACTGTCCCCGATAATTGGGGAGGATCATTACTAGTGTCCATTTTCAAAAACGGAACTCGTAACGAGTGCGGTTACCAAAGGTGGGTCACTTTGAACTCGGTCATAACAGGATTGTTGGCGTCACTTGTGCCTCGTTGTCTTATGATTGATCGGGAGATACTGACTTGAGAGCAGCAAGCAGATTGGCGTCGTGGTAGGGGTCGCGTTTCCAAGATCTTAACACCCTCTCAGGTGCTAGAACAACACCATACGTACAGAGGAGCCACAATTTTAGAATCCCTGAGTTTCAAAGACGCATTCGACTCGGTTGGCCGGTTTGTTCTCTTTAACACGCAAAAGTCAAAAGTGTGACCAGAAAGAGGGTCGAAAGTGAACTCCGTAATTGAGGCCGCGGCTGCGTCAGCTGAGGAAACAGGAGACCCACGAGTACTGACGGCTGCTGTCTGGATATGCAGTTTCTGAGTCAGTGATTCAATGAGCTTCAGTGACGCTTCTTCAAACTGCTTTTGTTGCTGCTGCAATAGTTCTCGGTGCTGATCAAATCCGATTGACATCGTGGGTTCCCGTTCGCCAATTGTTGTAACGGTTGTAACGCCACCTGTGGCGTAGGCGTGACATCAGCTTCTCTCTCAAGGGTCGAGTTTACAATGCTGCGGTGCGCTCCATACTACTATATGGATCAGGAACCTGGCCGCTGCGCGTCGAGGACGTAAAAAGTCTTTCAGTGTTTGACCATCGATG